AGAAACTCTTCGCTTTAACTGATACTCTCTTTTATTTTATTTCATGTTACAATCTTTCGCGGCAATCAAGGAATAAGGTGATCTTTATTTAGAGGAAACTTTGCAATATATACATTCTTTGAAGGTGGAAATGGCACCATCAGACTTTATTCAGAGTAACATTATTTTTTGATGTTAGAGAGAAAGACAAAATAAGGCTCAAACAATATGTAGCAATAAGATGTTTGATAATATTAAAAAAGACAAGATCGGTTTGATAATAGATTCAAATCTGACCAATGACTACAGAATTGCTACATATATTCACACTGTTCTATGTTAGAATGATCAAGTGTTGAGAAATAAGTCTCCATTTAACAAACTTCATGAGTAATTGAACTGTAATAAGTAATAAAAACAGGATAATGTACATTTTTAAATTGTAAAATTTGATGACCAGAACATTTCATTTTAAAGATTTGAACACATACCCTTGAAATTAAAAAGTCATGCTTTCTGCGACGTAAGTCAGCATTAAAAAAATGTAATCTGATTGTATGAAGAATTCGATTTTATGTAGCAGAAATGTTTACTTTAAACATTTTATGAAGGATTTTACAAATTGGCTATTGTACAAGCTTTACGTTAGACTTTAAAAAATAAATGTTAATGATTACACGACAAAGATAATAGACAATACCTTCTGTTTTACAAATAAATGTTTCATCTTGGATAAAAAAAATGTTAATCCATACGCCTTTTGTGATATTTTAAAGCCATTAGGCGTACTTTTCCCCGTGACTGGACAAGAATGCTACGAATCTGAATTTTAAAAAGTAAATTTAAATTATTTTGTCAGTTGAAAAAGGTGTTGTGCGCAACAGATTTCTCAAATTTTCTGCGTATTAAAAAAGCAAAACGCAATTTAGATGACCTGAAAGAAATTCAGTTTTAGACATAAGCAAAAAATGTAGTTTCGAAATTCCCGTCAATTTTATTTGCAAGCCAAATAGGGTTTCTTCGGATTCAGAAGGGCATCAAAATGTCTCATTTCTGTTCTGATGTGAAACCTTATCTCAGCAAGATAATTTTAAACATATCAACCACGAAACAACAGTTGAATCAAATATTTCTTGTCGCAGGTGAATCATTAGTTGTTTGTATTTAGCAATGAAATATTTTTTATTGTACTTTGCTGAAAAAAAAAAAAAAAAAAAAAAAAAACTCTGAGAGAATTTTTTTTTTCCAGTAAATTTTCTTTGGAGAAGAATATTTTTTTTCTTTCATGTATCTTTAAAATGTACACTACGGTTCTAATTTTGAAGCCATACCCAGAATTAGCATGGGATGAACTTGACAGAAGAGTGAAACCTTTCCACTACAAAAATGAAAACGAGCACTTTGAGTCATTGAAAAAAAGAATGGAATCAATTATCAAACTCATAATTTGAGAAACTTTTTCAACGAATGCCAAAAATTAGTGCTGTAGTAATCAAGGCTAAAGGAAGATATTTTGTCGAAAACAAAATTCAATCATAAAATGCTTTTTTCTTTTTGTCATAATAAGATTTCTAATAAGAAATTATGTCTCACATTTTTTTAACTATGTAAAATAATTATCTGTACAAAACAAACACATTTTGGTCCAATTTTAAAAAAAATACCAGGGTATGTTTAAACATTTGAACTGTAGTGTACATCCGAAAAAGAAACGATAGCGTGAATTTCAAGTTTTGTTTATTTTTATATTCTCTTCATGCTTACTCAAGAACCAATATTTATCTTTTTGAGCGGTTCTATGTACAAGACATTGTGAAGAGGCGTTAATGATAAAATCTTCATTTAAAATAGTTATTCTTCGCTTGAAAAAGGTGTGCAGTTTGGAAAAGTTCAGTAAAGAATTCAGAAATAAAATACGGACTCCTAAAAATGTAATCTCCGCAGTATTTTTTAGAAAAAATTTTATCATGAGTCATAATTCTAAACATCCCCAATTACGCAAAAGCATGCACACACATAACATGAACACACACACATGCACTCACGCGCATACACACATACATATATATATAGATGTATGTATTGAAATGCACTTACACACACACACACACACACACATATATATATATATTTATATATATATATATATATATATATATATATAAACATATATACATATGTGTGCGTGTGTATCTGCGAATTTTGGAAGCAGTCTTTCATTAATGCAAGTTTAACTAAAGATGAATAACATCTACAGTCTTTGCTTCCCTAATCCCGATAATGGCCTGTAGTATTCTTATAAGTGGAAAATATGAAAATTTGTGGATAATATTTACAATCAGTGAATCCAGTAATGCGTTCTGGCGTACGTTTAACAAGAAAAGTTATAATTTAAATTTAAATGCAATGTCAATCACTATATCCTGTCTTCTTAATTTCTGTTCTCTTATTGTTCTCTCTCTTTAATAATGTTTTTCTTTTTCTCATAGTCTCTCACACTCAATAACCCCCCTAACATCTTAGTGACTTTATTGCCTTTCTTGGGGGTGGGGGGGGTGAAATGATTAAAAGTAAATAAATAACTGAAAAACAAAAACTACAACATTTTTTTTTAGATTTTTACTTAAGTTTCTATTACTATAGAAGGTGATTAAAAATTAACTCCCTAATTTATGTATGATGGACTCTCCTGTCTAATTATAATTTTTACGAGAGAGTCCCTTATGCATGAAATAGGGAGTTAATTTTCAATCACCCTGTATATGATATTACGGAGACGAATTTTAAGGTAATGCAAGACATTCTAATATTTAATGAAAATGCTGTTTTATAAAATTCCTCAATATGATATTTAAGAATTTGTAAATTGGAGAATTTATTTCCTCTGTTCAATTTTATTTATTTACACATGTTCGAATGGATATTAATCTCGAAATGAGAAAGGTTTCGGTATCAATCTGTTTTATATAGTCGGGTTAATTTCGTCGTCGATTGAAGATTTTATTTATAAGGTTAAGTTAAAGTTCTTCCAATTTGATATACAATAAAAAAAAACAAACAACTTATAAAAATATTTCCTATAAATAAAGCAAAAGAAAATTGGAATAGTTGCAATTCTGAAATATATATTACATTTAATATTAAAAATTGTAACAAAAACTCATGGCTTGTATCATTCAAACGTATAAAAAGTATTTCAATTTGTGATTTTCTTATAATTTTCCTATATATTCATTTTCAGTATCTACTTTTCCTTTCATCTCTAAACATATCAAACTAATATATTATATGTTACTTTGATGCAAAAACTCCAGTGTTGTTGAAAAACGGTTGATTCGTATTAATTTTTAGTTTCATGGTTCAATTAGGAAATTATTGCCCTGATATTTTAGGACGCATCACCCTTAACTAAATTAAATATTCAATAATAAAATAACGTTTTAATTTTTATTTTTTGGGTTCGATGAATTCTTCAAGGAACTGTTCACCATCTTTAAATTGTTGACTAGACAAGATGCATTGCATGAATCAAAACAAGAGATAATCTTCCGCAAAGTACAGTCGTACATTCTAATCTGAATGAGAGTTGTTGCATAACGACATCACCTGTTTTGTTTCAATGTAACTTTTAAACGAGCCCTGGGATGATGACACAGTAAGTGTTTATCAATGTTCCGGGAAATAAAAAATTTACATTTTGAATCCCCTTAAATAATGACATAAAGTTTTTTTTTTCTAGTAGATTCCCATCAATATTTGATGTTTAGAGCTCTACAGAATCTAGCCACGAAATAAATACATTTTTATCACTTGTCTTAAAATGAATATTTTTTATCTGTTAATCAGGAAAGAAATTCGACAAAGCTTTAGACGCTGACCGATATTCCTTTCTGTAAGCTCATGTTCGGCTTTCAAACGACATATTCTAGGTAACTAAGTGCAAAAAGAGCTGAAGAGATTTTAAAGACACGGATAAGATTACGCTAACAGTATATAAAAGTTCGCGTGAGAAAAAAATGCTCAAAACTCAATAAAACGATTTAAAATACCAAGCCAGATAAAATGTAATCAGATGGGTTTTAAATAATATATTTGTATTTCCGTCTGATTTGACACCTATAATCCCGTCCCGTTATGACACAATGGAATCAAGACGTTATTCAATTCTGATAGTTTCGAAAATATATTTAATGTATATGTGGTTGTCAGAAAATTTCTTTCGGTCTAATAAGTAAATTTTCTACTTAAAAAGAGAACGAAGACATATAATGTGTACCTTCGGGATGTGGGTGATCATGGCTCTCCACAACCCCCTACAAATTTAACTCCTAGCAATATTCATTTACACAAACTTCTTATGTTTGTTACTCGCTATTTAGCATTCAGTGTGCTGTGGGGGTGTCAAATTTTCAAAGCCTTCTTTCCTCATTATGTCTCCAATAAACGACAATTGTTTCTTACTAATTCTAACTATAAGTATCCTTTTTGTTTCCATTTTCTATAGAATTTCTTCGTTGTTTTGCATATTCCGTCCATGGTATTCTCAGCATTCTCCTGTAGGACCAACGAATCAACTAATAAAATAATGAATCTCAAATGAGTTGCCTTTCTAGAGACACACATGTATCTATAATTCTGTATACATATATTCTGTATATATATATATATATATATATATATATATATATATATTATCCACAAAAACAGCTCAATGTATTTATCATATATATATATATATATATATATATATATATATATATTATATAAATAGTATTACAACTATCAAAATTTACCTTATTTTTGATTTTGTTGTGTAATACTATATATATGTGTGTGCGTGTAAAATTTACTAATACACACACAAATATATATATATATATATATATATATATATATATATATATATATATATATAGATAGATAGATAGATAGATAGATGAACAGATAGAGATAGATAAATAATGAACATACTGAGATACATAGATAGATATGAATAGGTCGAAATAGATATGAAGTGACTGTTAAAGATATATAATGAATAGTCTGAGATATGTATATATATATATATATATATATATATATATATATATATAGAGAGAGAGAGAGAGAGAGAGAGAGGGGGGGAGAGATAGATAGATAGATAGATAGATAGATAGATAGATAGATAGATAGATAGATAGATTACGAACAAGCTAGGATATATATATAGAAATGCACACGCTGAGAGAGATGCATAGATAATGAAGAAACCCAGATAGATAGATAGATAGATAGATAGATAGATAGAATGTAAATTTCTGCAGCAAGATTTCCGTTGAAATTCTTTTATTAAAATCTACCGACGAAGTCTGTCTGTTTAAATTGTTACTGCATTTATATAATTTTTCGAATATGATTTTGCATATCTGGATCAAAATTGTATATGAACTGTCCAGATATCATACACATTAATATCCATCGTAAAATCCGTTAATAATCACAATAATTAAAATAAAAATCCGATATTGATCTCAGGTTTTAATTATATTTTTCTAAATATAAACCATTAAAGCCAATCGTCGACACGGTGGAGTAATGGATAGCGGCTTGGATTGAGGAATCGCAGTACTGAGTTCGAATTCCAGTCGAATCCATTACATTCATTTACGTGCTAATACCCTTGGTAAAGGTATGAATCCTCTTCTTCTCCCTCCAACTATGGGTAAATAGCAGTCTAGGAGAAGGAAATACTCTGAATTCAAAACCTGCGGAGGGTCGTTTGAGGACCTTGTGGCACGTAGTGCACCAGGTCTCTGTATTCATCCCTTCAAAAAGTGTGGATGGTTCTGCACGAAACCTTCACCACTATAATCAAATCTCATGTGCTATACATGCTGGTTTGGGGACCGCTTGAATTCCAATTTACCATGAAACTCCAATATTGGAGTCGGCTCAACCCACCCCGGGTGAACGACGTTACAAAAACAAGAGAAGAAAATAGGACGATGGGCATGTAATTCACTAGCTGACGCTTTGAATATTACAAAATAGATCTTTCTTGTTGGTCGAGGTAGAGGTTTTATCAAACTAACATCGGGTCATGATTTTCTCGTGTGTCATAGAGATTGACTTAAAGGTGTAAAAGAAGAGCCGACGCAAGTGAAAAAAAAAGCAATTGAATTATCGGAATTTAATGCCAATCATCTTCTGCTTGTTCGTTAGGTAGTTATTTAGTCAGCATGGTCGTAGACGTTGCCATTACCACAGATAATCGGCCATCTTTGTTTGATTGCGAGGATAGACGGAAGTATAGATATATCAAAGGCGCTGTTTGGTTTTGGAGAAATCACGGGAAAAGAAAGAAAAGTCTGAGATAGATAGATAGATAGATAGATAGATAGATATGAGTAGGCTGAAATAGATATAGATATGAGTAGGCTGAAATAGATATAGCAAAGAAAGAAAGAAAGAAAAAATAAAGAAATACATTTACATAAACATTCACACACGCATATACATATAATGAGTTAGATAGATAGATAGATATATATAAATATGTTGAAATAGATATAGCAATGAAAGAAAGAAATTTACTAATACGCACACACGTGTATAAATATATATAGAGAGATAGATATGAATAGGCTGAAATAGATAAAGCATAGAAAATATAGCAAAGAAAGAAAGAAATTCACTAATGCACACACACACACACACACATATATATATATATTTATAGATAGATAGTGAACAGACTGAGATATATAGATATGAATAGGTTGAGATAGATATGAATAGACTGTGATAAATAATGAACAGATTAAGATAGGCTAAGATAGATAGATAGATAGATAGATAGATATGAATAGGCTGAAATGTATATAGCAAAAAAAAAAGAAAAAAGAAAGAAAGAATGAAAGAAAGAAAGAAAGAAAGAAAGAAAGAAAAGGAAGATTAGGGAGGAAATAATATGTGTGTTTAACATCAGCTTCAATGAAATGGAAAACCTTTTCAATTTTCAACTGTTTCATTCGTCCCCTCGTCCCCTCGTCCTTCTTTAAATATTTTGTTAAAGTCATTAAGCTCAAATATTTAACGATGCAATACGGGTATTTTCATGGATATTTTATAGTCGTGGGGTTATTCAATTATTACCTTAAAAATTAAGATTAATCAAAAACTTACAAGAAAAAAACACGGGAAATTTTCACGTGTTGCCAGTATATTGGCAAAAGTCCATCTGAGTTCATTTTTCTGGCTTGGTATTTTAAGTAATGTTTATGATATTGGAGCGTAATGTTAGAGAAATTTTAGAAGTGTCTTCAAAATTTATTGCTTGCGACAAGCGAGTAAAAACAAAAGAAAACCCCCCAAAAATAAATATTAAAAAATATATGAGAAAAAGGATAAAAAGATCGAAGCTTGAGTTGACGCCTCGAATCGGTATTTTCTTTGTCAAGATATTTTGGTTAATTAGAAATTTATTCTGTTTTGATGATTTTGTGTGCGCAAACACAGCGACCGAAAAGAGGATTTTTTTCTTTTGACCCTGCAAGACTTTTTACGAGATACGATCAATTAACTCTTGATATACAAAAGCATTCTGACTATCAAAATTTCTATTTTATTGAAAGCATTAAGATTCAATTAACACACAGACATAGATAAACGCACACACTCTCGCCCACGCACGCGCGCACACACACGCAGGCACACACACACAGAGTGAGAGAGAAAGATGCACTACTGTTCAAAAGTTTGAAGTCACCCCTGCCCCAGAATGAGCATGAGATGAAGTTTACAGAAGAGAGGAAAAAAATGGAAAAGAGAGGGTGTGAGTGAGAGAGAAAGAGAGAGAGAGAGTTAAAGAGAAAGATGCACTAGAGTTCAAAAGAAAAGTTTGAAATCAACCCCCCCCTCCCAGAATGAGCATGAGATTGATTTGACAGAAGAGGGGAAAAAATGAAAAAGAGTGAGAGATAGAGAGAGTAAGAGAGAGAAAGAGAGTGAGAGAGAGAGAAAGAGAGAGAGAGAGAAAGAGAGAGAAAGAAAGAGAGAGAGAGGAAGAGAGAGGAAGAGAGAGAGAGAGAAAGAGAGAGACAAAAAGAGAGAGAGAGAGAGAGAGAGAGAGAGAGAGAGAGGGTAAGAGACAAAGATGCACTACAGTTCAAAAGTTTGAAGTCACCCCACCAGAATGAGCATGAGATGGTGTTGACAGAAGAGGGCAAAAATGAAAAAAAAAAAGCTCTTAGAGTCTGAAAAAAAGAATGGAATCAATTACCAAACTTATACTTTAAGAAATTTTTTACATCCAAGGCCAAAAGTCAGTGCTGTACTAATCAGGGCTGAAGGAGGATATTTTGACGAGAGAAAAATTTAATCATAAACTGTTTTTTTTTTTATTTTATAATAATAAAATTACTTATAAAAATCATGTCGCACTTTTCTTTTTTTACCATGTAGAATAATTTTTCTTATTTAAAGCAGAAAAACACCTAATTTAAACAAGAGTTCTCAAACGCTTGAACTGTAATATATATATATATATATATATATATATATATATATATATATATAAATTTAGTAACAATACAAATGAAGAACACTTCTTAAAATTGAAATTAGCAGAATTTAACTTGTTTTAAGGCGAGCGGAATGTTACTAAAGAACTAGAGCGACGATAATCAATGAATAATAAAGATTCAAATGACTTATCGTCTGTATTCAAATTTAGTGGACACACGTTTCGTCATAGATACATCTATTCAGTTATTAACTTTATGTAGCGTATAAGTATATTTGTTTCAATTATTCAATAGATTTAGATGAACTGACGAACGATTTGTCCACAAAACTTTGGAAGCCAGTCGAACGTTAAGTCAACATTTTGTTTTTCTTTTCTTAAAATTTCAAATTAATAACATCCATCCTAAATTGAGAAGTTCCACTAAAGAAAGATTGTAATGCCGACAGGAATCGAACTTGTATATCTTTTTTCTATCAAGGAAACTGCTTCTACAACTGAGCCGTGCAGCTACAAATTTAGCCAAGGAGTCCTCATTGGTTCGAATTACTATTTAAGGAATGCACATCTCTTGTTGGGTTTTCTACGAATCTATATCGTCATTTTTGAATGGATATTTTATCTGAAAATTTTATTTATTAACTATAAATATTATTTTAGTGGGTTAACATATTGAGTTGTTATCCCTTTTTGTATGAATAAATTTATTCATATTGACCTCTCTCTAAATCTGTATATATATTCATATATATATATATATATATATATATATATATATATAAATTGTCCGTTTACAGATATATTTTAGATATATCTAACATTTTACGCACACACACACACATACACAGACACACACACACACATATATATAAAATTGTACCGTAACATATGAATACACACACTCTCTCTCTCTCTCTCACACACACACAAACACACAGACACACACATATATATATATATGTCTGTGTGTGTGTCTGTGTGTGTGTATGGATGTAGAAAACATTTTGTACCTCAGCATATGATTAAGGATTTGAAAATGACGGAACTCATTCTTTTAAATGGACCTTTTTCGTCTAACACTTTTTCAGTTTCACTGTTTTGATTATTGCCGTTCCATCGAATGTTTCTCAAGAAATGTTGACTGAAATAGGTCCTTTGAAAGAATGTGTCCAGTCATTTTCAAAGCGATATATATATACATATATATATATATATATATATATATATATATATATATATATATATATATATATATATATATATATATATATTGGTCAGGCTGCAACCATCTGATGATTTGTTAATTTGTTCTCAGTGTACCTAGCTTATATGGACATGTTTTTATACGAACAAACTCAGTGCCACATGTAAGGAATCATATGCAAAGAAAAATAATTAAATTCATACTATAATTAAACAAAATAAAATAAAAACATCCTCATCTCTTTAAGACAGGTTACTATGTAGTTTGCAAATATCTGACCAAACCGTGCAAATTTCCCGTAACCATTTGACAGCTTATGAATAAAACGCTTGGTTCAAATGCTTAGTTAAATAAAGCCGCGTGTATTTCTGGAGCTTACCTGTATATCGTGTGTGCGTTAATAGTGTGATTTTGTAAAGTTCTTTATTTCCAATTATTGTTGAATTTCTAGGATGAGGAGTTATTTTTAATTCCACTAGTCCCCGTGTGTTTGTTGACGTCAAGAAGATCAAATTTCAAATTCAAGTTGTTTGCCCATTTAAAATACTACAATTATTAGAAAATAGATTCAGGCTAAATATAGAAGGTATTATAAAAATGACGTCAGAGAGTCGCAGATTTCGTTTTATATACTTTATATACAAAACGAGAAGTTAGACATCGCAACTCTGATGTCCATTTCAGTTTCATTCAAATTGTGTGTATGGATGTGTGGGCATAGGTATTTTAATTTAGTAACAGGCCTAATTTAGTAACAACTATGGGTAAATAGCAGGACAAGCCGGGTTCTATAGCCTTGGATAGCAACTGGTCTACCGCAGAAAGAAATGGCAATTGGTTAAATTTTAGGGATATGTGTATGTGTGTGCTTGTGTGTTTGTGCGTGTGTGTGCTTGTTTATATATTAAATGACACAAGCACATATACGTCACTCACACACAACTCAGATATACGCATATATATATATATATATATATATCACATACGAGCATGCAGAGTTACAATCAAAATCTGTTTCTTCTGTCCCATGCCTACCCCTGACGATTGAGGCAGTCAAGTTAAAAAATATATATATATATATATAATAGGAAAAGAGAGAAGATATTTATTTTTCTAAACATTAAAAATATTAAAGACGAGATACATTTAAAGATGTGGACATTCACTAAATATTTGAAATTTAGAATATTTGGATGCATAATGAAAGACATATTTAAGACTAGCTGACTTCACGATATATCGGGTTTTGACAATGCTAAAATGTACTTTAACTAGGAATAGTCTACACACACACACACACACACACACACATATATATATATATATATATATATGACAGTGGTTCTCAGACAGTTATCCTCTGGGCTGCATTTTGGGAAATGAAATTTGCTCGTGCTTCACCAAAATTTAGGTGATAAAAAGTACATTAATAAACAAAGAAAACAGAGAGTGAGTTAAAGGGAGATAACTGCGTATTCGAAGTCAGAACATTATCATTAATAACTCTCTAGTCCAATTTGCGGACCCTAGTTCCTATATACGTGATATAATGCAAAATTATCACAATGATAAACTCGGTCAATAACTATTTATAACTATACATATGCATATACTTACAAGTAATCCATAATTATGTTTTAAATATTAAAATTATGTTTATTTTTGGCATATGAATTTTTTGAAACTGTTTCAAAATCTTTGATCATTGTGCCTCACTGGCTATCCTCTTCCACCGCATCTATGAGGCGCGCAGCATCGTTTGGGAACCATTGATCTATGTATACATATATATCCATACATGTGATGCGAGGTTGTGTAACGGTTATCGACACGAAAAATGTAAGCGGCCAAACGAGTTTGAATTTAAGCTGATGTTGCTCATGTTAACTTAGCATTTTGTACCCATAGAAAAGATATAAAATCATATTCCTGTTGTTAAATCGGCATTGCTTCTTGGCAAAAAATGCATTATCTCTGTCCTGCCATACTGATTTTATAGCACGAACATCATGTGGGACATACTAAAAGATTTTTACGGGGTTGGAGAGCATAAATACCCCCCTCAGAAATACCTCCCACATAATAGTAAGACATTAGCTAGATGAAGACAACATTGCTACTAATGTCTTATCATTATGTGGGAGGAATTTCTAGAAGGTATACGTGGGGAGCATTTCTGCAGCACCCTGTAGATGACCGACGGTCCTTCATAAAGAATATTGGTCTATACTCCAGAATGTGAAGATTTGACTTAACATTTGTTCGAGAATTATTTGTACTATATATCATCGTCATAATTTATCATAAACATCATCACTCACATATGGCCGTGTGTGGCCGTGATGTCGCTTCGCAACCGAACCCCTGATCAGCTCTCTCCACATGTCTCGGTTGTGTGCCAATATCCGCGTTGAAAGTTGGAGAGGTCTTCATTTAATTATAGCGTGTCTTAGCAAAGTAAACTTGGTGGAGTCCTTCGCTCTTCAGATCAGACTACAACCGATGTCCACCCACTTAAAACCTCGTCTTGGTCACGGACACGTGGCTGTTGATTCCATCGAAGAAACACTTTGGCCTTCCTGTTCAATTGTTAAGATGTTACATTCGAACAGATTCTTGCCTAGAACAGCTACATTGTGGAACAGACTCCCAAGTCGATGCTTCTACAATCACTACAATCTTAACCTCTTTAAATATCGGGTCACCGGATATGTACACTGCAAACAATCCTATTCTTTAGACTTCTTGAGTGACTCTAAGACCTTATAAGGACAAAATTTAAAAATGGTTTGTTCTCAATGTACTTACATTTACAGAATGAATAAACGGTGTATAGACTTATACTGTTATTACTTTAAACGTTATTTTAGTGGATGACCATATTTAAATAGACGCACCGTTCATATATTAAACGGTATATTTCTTCATTTTCATCTACAGGCCTGAATATTCAAGAAATATTTTAAAGAAAAATATGTTCTCCCGCTGAATTCAAACGCGCGTCTCTCTTTTCAGGAGAAACCGTCGTTAGCACCGACGTGCTGTAGACCGGCTCAGTTACGGAGTATGTCGCCGATCAAGCCGAATAGTGCCTTATAAACGCATATCCTTGCCAGATTTTCGAAAGTTCATATTTGTTCAGTTTCGTGTTCAAACGTAAACAAGGAAATTTCTGAAGGAGTAGTGGATTTTTTATTTATTAATCCGACAGATTTTATCATTTTAAGCGTTATTTTAGGGGATACCCTTATTTGAGTAGTCGCCCCGTTTATTTATTAAACAGTACATTGCTTTGTTTTCGCCTACTGATTGGAATATTAAATAAATCTACTTTCTGACAGGATTCGAACCTACGTGCTCCTGACTGTCATCCATCACACAACGATCTACATTATTACGTTTATTGATAGGTTTACAGCATATCAACTCTTT